ATCTTCAGCTCCACCACTGAAGTAGAGGCAAGGGTAAGTAGAGAAGGGGTGGAGGTTTACAGCTTACACTCTTCTTGCTTCCTTCTCCCACCTCTATAGAGTGGACCTGGTTGTTCACTCCCTGAAGGACTTACCCACTGTGCTTCCTCCTGGCTTCACCATTGGAGCCATCTGCAAGTAAGAGTCCTACAAGTAAGGGGGCCTGGGCACCAAGTAGACATCGTGTTAATCAGACTTGTCCCTCTGCCTCTGGGACTATTCTTCCCTGCCCTGAGGGGTGTTGAGCATGGCAGAAAACTCAGTTTGTTCACTGTTCTTTGTTGCCATTGAGTGGATTCCAATTCACGGTGGCCTCATGCATGTCAGAGTAGAACTGTGCTCCATAGAGTTTTCAAGACTGTGTGACCTTGTGGAAGCAGGTTGCCAGGCCTATCTTCCAAGGTACCCCTGGGTCAATTCAAACTGCCAACCTTTCAGCTAGTAGTCGAGTGCTTAAATGTTTGCACCACTGAGGGATTCCAGTTAGTCAGGTACGAAGAGAGAATTGGGGTCATTCTTGAACTGAAATCTCTCCCTCATTCTTTGACCTTTCCTGTACCTCCAGGCGGGAGAGCCCCTATGATGCTGTTGTCTTTCACCCCAAATTTGTTGGGAAGACCCTAGAAACCTTGCCAGAGAGGAGGTGAGTGGGGGCTGGAGAGGCACCTTGGTGCGATATGCATAGAAGATGGAGGGATGAGAGGAAGAAGAAAGAGTGCCTGCTTAGTGTTGATTCTCATCTTAAACCTTCTCTTTGAGCAGCGTGGTGGGAACCAGTTCCCTGCGGAGAGCGGCCCAGCTGCAGCGAAAATTCCCACATCTGGAGTTCAGGAGTATTGTATCCTTTTAAGGAGGATGGGGCAGCAACCAAGAAGAAGACAAGGTCCAGGGGGCCCTGGAAATCCTGAGAGTGGAAGGGGTTCACAGAGGAAGTGAACTATGGAAAAGTGGTTCCATCCACCAATCCAAACTTTTCATCCAACACTGCAAATATTCACAATTCCTTAGCCCCAGGCAAGTGCCTGGCACTGGGGATAATGGTGAGCAAGATAACATTGTCTCTGCTTACATAGAGTTTACATTTTAGTTAGGGAGACAAAACAGGCATTGATAATACACAGTGATACTGAACAGTGATTACTTCTGAGGGGGATAGAGGGTGCTTCCATTTTTATTTTATATGGTTTTTTTTTTTTTTTATAGTGAGCATGCAGTATGTTTTATAAAAACTAATTTAAAAAATTCGGTGTGCTAAATGCTTCAGTGGAAGAGGTAGGGTAAATGTTCCAATGGGAGAAGTAGAGAATGCTCTGGAAGCCTCTAGCAGGAACATTTAAATACAGGCTTAGGGATCAGGAAAGGCTTCTCAGAGGTTGGCCATGTTGTTAAATAACCTCTCTGTGTCTCATTTTCATCATCTATAAAATAGGGATAATTAAACTGTCTCATAGATTGTGACAATTAAATGAGTTGAAGTACTATACTTTGACCCATATAATGTACCCGTTATGGATTTTTTGCAAGCTGCACAACACCTTTGTGCATTAGTTTCCTATGCATGCTTTGCACATATATGCATATGCATGTTATTTACCTGGGCATGTTATGTGCAAAAAAATATGATACATAAAGTACTTTAGACCAGGGTCTGACATTTAGTAGGTATGATGTGTTAGCTCTTACGAAGCTGAGAACTGAAAGAAATTAGCCAGATAGAGAGGGACAGACTGTTTCAGGCAGAAGAAACAGCATGAGGTACCAGACTGCCCAACACTCATGGTCCTTTTTGTTTGTTTAAATTGTCATTTGGGTGAAAGTTTACAGAGCAAATTGGTTGTTCATTCAAAAGTTCATACATGTTTTGTTTTTGGCAATCCCAACAATGTAACAATATTCTTCCAGTTACACTGGTGGTCCTTAACATTTTCTCCACAGCGGGGAAACCTTAATACACGGCTTCGGAAGCTAGATGAACAGCAGGAGTTCAGTGCCATCATCCTGGCCGCAGCTGGCCTGCATCGAATGGGTTGGCAGAACCGGGTGGGGCAGGTAGGGGATGCTCCCTTTCCTCCCCAGTGAGTCTTTATTCCCCCCTCTACCCTGCCCCCATTCTCCTCTTAAATACCCTACCTATCTCTAACAAAAGCTGGAAAACAAGGCCCAGGCTGGAAAGGTTGGGAATTGGAGGCCAGACTCCCAATTCCACCCCCCGCTCTGCCCAGTTTCCTATATGATAGGGAATCCCCATCTCACTGTACCCCCATATCCTTCCTTCCTCACTGCCTTTTCTGTCCCTACAGATCCTACACCCTGAGGAATGCATGTATGCTGTAGGTCAGGTATGCTTGACCAGGGAAGCCAGCATATTGATGTACCCTTCCCTTTGTTTCTCAGCCAAGAAACTGGTCTCACAACCTTCTTCTGTATCTACTTCCCCCAGAATAAACAAACATTCTCAGGGAGGACTAGGTCTGGGGAAGCTACTGGCCCAAAAGTCCCTGGGGTGGGGGGAGATGGGTAATTTCCATCCTTAGCTCCACTGATTGAGGAAAGATAGAGCCTGATGTCCTAGGCTGTTTTTTTCACCAGGGGGCCCTAGGCGTTGAAGTCCGATCCAAGGACCAGGACATCCTGGACCTGGTGGGTGTATTACATGATCCCGAGACACTGCTCCGCTGCATAGCTGAACGGGCCTTCCTGAGGCACTTGGTAAGGCCTCCTGTGGAGTGCTAGGCACTGAGGAACCTGGGAATATAATGGGGAGATTTCTCATATTAATGCTCTGTATGTTGTGGTCATTTATTCTTGTTGGAGGTTGTATATGGAGAGGGCTCAGGCCTGGGCCCCTTCAGAGGTGTGTATGTGTGAGGACTGTGGTCACAGGGTAGTAAGAGTCTCTTGGAGCTCACAGGGAGAACATCTCATTGCAGGAAGGAGGCTGCAGTGTGCCAGTGGCAGTACATACAGTTGTGAAGGATGGACAGGTAAGCAGAGAATTGTGGCATTTTCCATCTCTGCATCCTAAACTGTCAGCCAAAGTCCAGGATTCTAAGTAACCCCTCTCAGAATATACTGAGGCAGCTGTTTTCTTTCCCAGCTGTACCTGACTGGAGGAGTATGGAGTCTGGATGGTTCAGATAGCATGCAAGAGACCATGCAAACCACTGTCCTTGTCCCTGCCCAGGTACCAAGCCTGGAGGGGTAGGAGAGGGGAGCAGTAAACAAGAAACTGCATATGATCTGCTTTCATTCTCGCCAAACCCCACTCTGTCCTTACCTAGCATGAGGACGGGCCTGAGGATGATCCACAGCTGGTAGGCATCACTGCCCAGAACATTTCCCGAGGAGCCCAGCTGGCTGCTGAGAACCTGGGCATCAGCCTGGCCAACTTGTTGCTGAACAAAGGAGCCAAGAATATCCTGGACATTGCACGGCAGCTTAATGATGCCCACTAACTGGTCTGTTGGGCACAGGTGCTTGGGTTGCATCTGTCCAGTGCTTGTCTTCCAGCCCAGGGCCCTGTTCTCACTACTAACTGGGGAGATTAAATTTCATCCCGAGACTTCCAGGTCCTGCCTTGCCTTTGGGGCCTTGGTGACTTTGCCTGGCTTCCTCAGCAGGTGGGGGCTTTCTTATCTCTTTAGAGGAAAAAGTCTAAGCCACAGGCTTTGAATATAACCAACTCTACTAATAAAGCAACTTTGAAGGTTGTATTTGTTTTTTGTTGGATTGGGAGAAAAAGACATGGGTCATTAAGTAGGTAAACATCAAACTTAAGAGGCTAGAACTTCTATCCAGCTTTCCTGGAATATCTTTTCTGTCTGTGCTTCAACAGTTCTCATTTCAAATACTGTGTTTTGCCCACACTCCCAGACTCATCAATCCTACAAGTCTTTTGCAAAATCACAACAAAGACACTTCATTTTTTAAAAATACAATTATTTAATAAAATTAGTCCATCTGAAACTCCCCAATACCTAACCTAAGGTACTAATCTTGGATGGGTTATCTGCAAAATTCCAGTTCACAACCCAACAGAGGCTCAGTTCAGACAGGGATTAACTGACTTTTGCTGGTATCTACTAGGTGCTTGAGTTGCTAGGAGCGAAGTCGGGATGGAGTGGGCAGGCCTGGCTGCCAGTTTTCGGCACATACACAACTCATGCTGGCCCCTCCGCCAGCTGTGAACCCAAACGGGAGGCAGTCACTTCTGGATGGTCACGTTACAAAGGGTTTTGCCCTGGCCCTCCAGACAGACCTGTGAATATAAAGATGAAGGGAGATCTGATGTGAAAGCCCCATGACTTGGCAGCAAAGGGGGCACCAGAGCAAATTAAGGATCGATTTCTCCCATCAAAGCCTGGAAATCAAGAGTCACGGCTTTACGGTCCTGGGCTGAGCACCAAGCTGGAAAAGTAAGAGGACCAGACTGCATCTGCTGGGGGTCCGGGCTGTCTGCTCCGCACCGACTCACCTTTAGGCCGCAGGCCTCCGGCCACGCACCTCACAAGCCCCGCGACTGCGGGGCCGCGTCTTCCAAGAGTCACGAGCGCTGAAGAGCAGGAGCTACGCCTCCAGCTCCGTCTCTGGCCCTCTGCGCCAAGGCGGCGGCTTCAGAGCGACCCCAAAACAGGGCCGCGCGGACTAAGAACCATGTTCTAACAGCCCCGGGCCTCTCAAGGACGGTCTGGCTGTCCCTCCTCACCGTGGATAAGACCGGAACTAGGGCCTACACGCCCTGCGGCTCCAGAGGCGGGAAGCGGGGGAGGGGTGGGAGGCTGGCAAGGCGCGGGGGCGAAGGGGCCTGAGCGGCGGCAGGAATGAAAGCAAAGTGCCGGGGTCCGCCAGTCTTGGGGCCAAAAGTGGCTCAGCTCTTTCCGTGAGGGCTGTGGTGGCCCTTAAAAGGGCCTTTGTGGTGGCATGGGGAGGGCCGGTACGTCCCGCTACGGCGCGGGCGCCCCTCAGTACTCCTGAGAGGCCTGTGTGCTCTTCTTGCCGCCGGCAGGCGCCTTAGGCCCCACGGTGGCGCTGGTCTTCTTGGGCAGCAGCACGGCCTGGATGTTGGGCAGGACGCCTCCCTGGGCGATCGTCACGCCGCCCAGCAGCTTGTTGAGCTCTTCGTCGTTACGGATGGCGAGCTGCAGGTGGCGAGGGATGATCCGAGTCTTCTTGTTGTCGCGGGCCGCGTTGCCCGCCAGCTCCAAGATCTCGGCAGTCAGGTACTCGAGCACCGCCGCCAGGTACACAGGCGCGCCGGCGCCAACCCGCTCCGCGTAGTGGCCCTTCCGCAGCAGCCTGTGCACCCGGCCCACTGGAAACTGGAGGCCCGCCCGCGAAGAGCGTGACTTGGCCTTGGCGCGGGCCTTGCCGCCGGTTTTGCCTCGCCCAGACATGCTGCTCGAGGTAGTGGATCGTTGAAGAACGGCGCCCCAGTAGACCACTTAACAGCTCTCCGCCGCAGTTAACTGCTACCGCGCGCGCTGAGTGGCCGCCTTTATAACCCCCAGGGACACCCTCCCCCTTGCGCCCTCCTGATTGGCCCGCTTCTCTAATACCCGCCTCCGGTTGGTTGCTGTTCACCCTTCGGTGACGTGCCTTAGTAGTGGAGAGCGCCACCTTATTGGTCGAATTTGAAAACCCCGGGTAAAAAGGCGAGAAGGGGTGGCTCGCAGACGTCCAACCCCCTCGTCATGTAGCCAATGCACTTGAAGCGCGCGAGATTTAAATGCTAAGGCCGGCGACCAGAACCGGAAGACAAAGAAGGTGGAGTTTAAAGCTGCTTAGAGCTTCTGGGAAATCTGGGCTGGCCTAGAACTTTTAAAGGAAAGGAGTCAGGACTATCTGTTTCCCCTCCATGATCTGAGCACTCCCCATTCCCTCCTATCTGGCAAAGGGAGAGTGAAAAAAGGGAAGAAATGAGATCCCTGAAAGTTTGACCCCATGCTAGAAAACAGGTAACTCCAATCTTATGACCCTCAATGACACCTGAAGTATTAGGACCTCAGTATTTATTCAACATGTTCTTTTGGGTCTCAGTTCTTCTGTTCATTTCTTGGTAGAAAGGACCTGGAATACTGAAAGAAAAAAGATGGGACAAAGAGATAGGCATCCTATTAAGGAGATGCCCCCACCAAAACTTCCCTCCCATATAAGAAATATACCTATAGAACAACAAAAAGACATCATTTTATTGTAACCACTGGGAACACCTGGCCCCCCAAGTCTGCTCTTACTAATCAGAATACTTAATTTATAATCAAATGTCGAGTCACCTTTGGCGCTGTGTCCCTATCCCCAGTGCAGGTTCTATCTCAAGGCCCAGCATATTCTTTGGGAGTCATTACATAAAAGCTGCCATATCCCACCTCAAAAGGCTGCAAAAACAGGAAGGAGGAGAGTGACAAGCTGAAGAAAGCCATAGGCAAATATCAGTCAGTAGTCATTAAAGGGCAAGAATGGCCCAACATGTCAATGGTCACAGGGGAAGGAAAATGCTGAGAACAAATATGGAGGAGAATGAAAGGTGTAAGAGGCCTGGGGCTAGGAGGCAGCCTTGGTCCAGAAAGAGCTCATCCTGAGTCAGAAGCCCTGGAGACTGCAGGTACAGGGCCAGCATCAGGGGACTCAGACATCATAGAAGAGTCGGACAAGCTGATACCGAATGGAAAAGGTGACGACACTGCCCAGAATCTGCAAGGAGAAATGGACTGGAGTAAGAACCACAGAGAAAGTGAGTTAAGATGTAGACCCCATCCCCAAACTCACCTGTAGTAGCAACAGAAGCAACGTGAGATTTCTCTCATGTATGGGCCCAAAGACTTTGAGCAGCAAATTGATAAGAGTCATGTTGTTACACTCGGTGAAGGGACCGTCTTCACTCTCACTCTGGTGCACTGTCACTAGCCGGAGGCTCTCTGCCACCTGGAGGGGCCAGAGGTGGAGGGAAGCTCAGATAATACTTGTGCTTCAGGAATGATAATGTCCTAATGATTCCAAATTCCCCTTGATCCTAGGATCCCCACACCCCAATTTTAGGATGGTTGTCTAGGACCTTACCTCCTTGTTACCCTGTTACCTTTAGAATAAAGGTGCCCAAAACAGAGAGGCTGTTGGTCTTGAACTTGGAATAGCTCATCTCCAATTTGCCTGTCTTGGTATTGAGTCTGCAGGTGGAAGAGAGCTTTATGTGACTGGCCAACTTCTCAAAGAGCTCTCCTCCTTGTGATTAACAGGAAGAGCCCTGAACGTGCAGTCAAATAATGTGAGATCTATTTCTGACTCCACTGCTTACTGTGCTGCTATGAGCATTAAATGAAAATTTTAAAGTAAATCTCCTTTGTAAATTATATAAAGGGATATCCACATGGAGAGTTAGCCCTTCTTTGGCCCCACTCCTTTTGCACAGCATTTGTGTAAGGACAGCTTCAGACATCCCAAGTGAAAAGGCTATGATGTTCCTTCCAAGCTTCAATGCCTATTCTTTCCTTCCTGGATAGCCAAAGTGGTTACCTTGGAATACGGTGGCGAGGGCAGGGAATGATATGCAGGAGCTGAGGCAGTGAGTAGAGGAAGTTGAACACCTGGGGCATGAAGAAGAGTAGCATGGTCTTGCTGAAGTGTCCCAAGATGCCTACCACAGCAAAGGTCATGCCAGCAAAGTAACAGAAGGTATCGCCCACAAACACCCGTGATGGATACCTGTGGTGGGGGAAAGGATCTGAGCCAGCGACAAGAGGCATTACCAACCTTTTTTTCTCTCACCTCACACCCTGGGCTCTAGGCTAGCCCAGTTCTGAGTCTAGAGGAGATTCTGGTTCTCCCAGCAACTCTGCAGGACCCAAAGCTCTGAATTTATCTATTCTTAGGAGCTCTGATGGCACAGTGCCTAAGGCATTTGAGTGCTAACCAGAAGGTCAGGGATTCAAAGCCACCAGTCACTCCACAGAAGAAAGACAGGGCAATCTACTTCTGTAAAGATATACCACCTTGGAAATCCAATGGGGGTCGCTATGAGTTGGAACTGACTCAATGCGGTGGGTTTGTTTTTTTTGGTTAGGGACTCCACAGCACTTGCTCCCAACTACTGCTGGATAGACAGCAATTTAAGAATACCACCAATTGAGGACCCAGAAAATACTAAACACAAGTATGCACAGATTTAGCCTCTCCATCAGGAGGTGGAGTCATGAATAGGTCCATACTTGTCACAAGTACATGACCAATAGTTGTTCCCTTGATCCTCAGGTATACTACTTACCAATTATGGTAGAGCAGTCCCAGGGTGGTGAAAAAAAAGGGTATCATGAAGTAGAGGGAAAAGACATGATCATCCCGATATTCACCTTTGGAGCAAGAAAAAGGAAGAAAGTGAAAGTTAAGTAGCCACTTCCCCTGTATACTTAAGTCCTATTTTTGTCTGCTTTTAAATTCTATCCCAAACTACTTTAGGATAGATACTTTGGTATCAACTACCTTTCCCATATCACTTTCTAGAACTCACTATCCCTCTACATCACTCAGGCAATTTTTGCTGTCCCACCTCTTTCATGAAGCCTTCCTAGTCACTGTCTTAAATTTGGTTTAGGCCATTCAAACCTAGGTTTGAATACCAACATTTACCACCTAGCTATTTAACCTTTGATCATGACACACTTCTCTTCCCTAAGCCTCAGTTTTCTCATATGTAAAACAGTATTGATGAGAATGCTGGCCACATGGAGCTATTATGAGGTTTAAGTGAGATAATGTTTGAAAAGTGCTTGGCTTCAGTAAGCACTTGCTGATACCCATCAATCACACACAAACAGAATCACCTAGAATCACAGTTGGGTTCATTGTTGCAACAAGGGAGACTGTGGAAACCATATACCATGGGGAACCATGGAACATTTCAGTAGGAAAGGTTTATTATAGGATTTTTTTTAATATTGTATTTTTGGCAAAAACTTACACAGCAAATTAGGTTCTCATTTAACAATTACTACACAAATTGTTTGGTAACACTGGTTACATTTTTCACAATATGTAACATTCTTAATTCTATTCTGGATGTTTTGCTTACAGTAATCTGGTTTCCCTGTTCGCTTATCCCTCCATCTTTGCTTTAGAGCAATAGTTTACAGTTTGGTCTCATACAGCTGATTTTATAAAGGTACACAGTACTAACTGGTAATTTTCTCTATTTTATTAGCCAATCTGTTATTTAGCTAAAAGGTGACCTCGGGGGGGAGTTTCAGTTCAAGGTTTATGGAATATCTCAAGGCAAGAGTCTCAGGGAGTCCTAGTCACAAGTAGTCCAGTAAGTCTGGACACTTTAAGAATTTTGAGTTCTAGTCTTCATTTTTCTTCCCTTCTATCAGGATCCATCTAGTTCTTCTGGGTCAGGCTGTGGTTCAATAGATTATGAGTGTCGTATAAACTACTTTCTACTCTGAATATAGGATTTGTTTTGAGTAATTTTGAAGAGGATGCTCTGGACAGGGTGCTATCGAAAGTGGGAATAATTCTATGATTGAACCTCTTCATAATTTTTATCTAAGAGGTGAGAAGAACTGAACTGTTACTGGAAAGATGCAACAGTCACTTCTATCAGCCAGGATATTTGGTCATTTTTGTGGTTTGCTCAGATATAATTATGGAGGCATCTGTTTGTGTGTGTGTGTGTGTGTATTGCTCTGTCATGGTCACAGAGTGACCCTGTCTGATGTTGGATTTCTATGAAATTATTTATGTTCAATAGGAGAGTTATCATGGTCTAGCTATTAGTGCCAATTTAGCTATAGATGCCAGGGGTGTTATTTTTCTTTCTCATATAAATGCTAGTTATTCTTTTCAAACTAAATAGTTTCTTATCTTCTATAATGGCTAACATATTGCTTCTTTCTGAATCCCTCAAAGCCATATAACACTGACTTCTCTCTCTCCCTACTCCCAATCCTACTTACCATCCAGCTCCACCAGGTTGAAGACAATGATAGACGCAGATATGACTAGTGACTGGCCAGCCTCTAGCCCATTAATTCCTGCTAGGATATTGATGGCATTGGTACAGAACACTGCCAGCAGCCCCATGTAGACATAGTACAAGATCCCTGGGGGAGAAAAGATAATATAGAAAAAGGATTTAGGATATTCTTCTGAGAGAAATGATGAAGAGAGGCCAGGATGAAGGCTAAATAGAAAGGATCTGAGAAGACACTGGAACAGAACAGGGACACTTGGAGAATAAAGTAGGGGCCATAGGGACAGTAGTGGCAGGGCTACTCACCCAAGTCCAGGTGCAGTCCAAGAACTGGACGGAAGGGCTTGGGTACCACAATGGTGGTGTTGCCAAAGTTGGTGAAATAGACCATGAGGAGTGGAAGTGAGGCAGCTGTAGGCAACAGCAGCTTATGGCGCCAGCGTAGATTCAGTACATCATCCGCAAAGCCCAGGAAGATCATGCAGCAGATGGCAAGGAGGGCACCTATCAGGGCCACAAACTGGGGGAGGCTCGGGCTTGTCCTGACTCAAGCCTACTCCCATTCCACCTCTCCTTTCAAGAATTCCTGGCTTCTCAGTTCCTCAGCCCCTCCCTGAAAGCCCAAATATTCCAACACTCTCAGGTACCTCCCAGGCCCCAGCCACAGACAACCGCCCCCACTAACCCACTTACTTCATGGTGGGGAAAGGTCTTACACTGCTCCTCCACAAAGCAATTCAGGAAAGGGAAAGGGATGAAGCAGAAGAGGATGATAAGGAAAACAGCACCGCTGATGACTCCCTGAGATTCTGGGCTGTGGCCCAGCAGCAAGAGGGGGGGAGGTGCGGGGGGGGGGGGGAAAGGGGTGTGGTCACTCACTAGCGTAGGCTTTATAGTGACCAAATTGTCTTCTTCCCACATCTTTTTTGGGAGTGGAAAGCACCACTGCTGGAGTCCCTGATATACCCAGGGTCCCCCACCCACTTCCCCAATGCTAATCAGTTCTGTCCTTCACCTCCCAGAGTTCCGGGTAGTCTGGGTCCTCCTTGGTTCCCACCCGTTCCCTGTCCACCTCTTCCCCAGCCCTGTCCCCTGCCCAGGACCCGTGTACCGCCCCTCACATCTGCTGCCGGCTGGCTTTGTTGAGGTCCAGGCCAGAGAGGCGAGCGGCGATGAAGTGGCCACGGAAGGCTGGAATGAGGGTGAGCGTGGCCACGAATCCCAGCAGCGAGCCGATTAAGTTCACCAGCAGCGGCAGCGGCAACTCCGGGAAGGCCCACATGGTGATGCTCCAGGGCCCTCCGCCGCCGCCTCCTCAGCTAATAGGCAAGCAGGACACAAGCCCGAGGCTCCAGCAGTAAGGAGTGACCTCTTCCCACAGACCGGATCTTTCCACAGCAGCCTGAGCAAAACCCTACGACTCTGAATTGAGCTGTCCGCGGGACTCCCGCGAGCCTCTCTATAAAGTAACCTTGGGTCTTCCTTGCTTCATCTGACTAGCCGCTGTTTCCGCCCGGGTCTTATTTGCAGAGCAACTATCGCTTGGTAAGGCTGTGACAGCCATTTTTAATATGGGCAAAAGAGTGAGGGCAGAGTTATGCCGTAAACGACACCTTTCGTTTGAGAGTTGAGTCAGCACAAAACTATTGGACATGCAATTTTAAAGAGACAAACACAAGCGCATACTTTCCTAACATCATTTTAAAAATGTGCAGCCTACAGGGGAAAAACTTCTTGCCCAGTTCCAAGATGAACGCCTCCTTGTACCACGTGTCTAACACAGCTTTCCAGCTCGGACCACGTCAGTTTTAGCTCCTTGGACCTTATTCAGTCAAGTTTAAAGGACCAGTACGCCTTGCTTAATCTGGACTGCCTCGGGAGACAGGAAGATAACTACTGGAAGGGGGTGACCAGGCAGGAGAGACGATGAAGTGGAGCACCTCCTGCTACTTGTAGAAACCTGAAGCTACAGTAAACGCCCCACAGTTCTTGGAAACGCTGGTCCAGTTAGGAAGGATGATGTAAATTCTAAAGGGTAGACACTTGAAAAGCCCCTCCCACTCCTTGTAGTTCTTGCCCTTGATCCAAGTACTCACCATCCCATCCACATTCTGCCCCCGCAGTAGTAGTTGGTTGCCGGGCAACCCAGCGGGTCACTTCGCCACTGAAGAAGCTGGGAGTGCCCTCAGGTGTCGGTTTTAACCGGGTACTTGATGTTCCTTGGTCCTGAATCACTGCCTCGTGCCAAGCACCCACACCGATGTGTAGGCTGAGGCGTTCTAAAGAGCTAAGGAGTCGGCAGAACTAGCCTGGTTTCTTGTGAGCCTGAGGGACTCCCAGTTAGGTTTCTTATCCTTGGTTGTTGTGCCATTTGCTTGACACCTGTTTTCTTACGGTGAGCTCTGGTGGTGTAGTGCCTAAGGCATTTGACTGCTAACCATGAAGGTTGGCAGTTCAAACCCACTAGCCACTCCGTGGAAGGAAGACCGGGCACGCTACTTTCATAAAGATTTCCAGTCAGAAACCCAAAGGGAGTTGCTATGAGTTGGAATTGATTCAATAGCAGTGAGTTTGGTTTGGTTTGAGGTTGTTTTCCTACAAGTAACCATTCACCAGCATCTTCATTTCCTTTCATTCAACCATAGACTGTTAGGTGGCAAATTAGTTATATTCCTTAGAGAGGAAATCACCAGAGATTTAGGGAGAGGACTCAGATATCTTGGCATCTTATCCATTCTTCTGAGTCTTCAGGAGTCAGGGTTGAGCTGACTTTGCATAGGACAAAGATAGTCCCCTCTTTTAAAGCCCAGTGTGAAATGTCCCTTCTATTTGAAAGCCATTCTAACTTAAATATATACAACATAATAATACAATAATATTTAACAATAAATAACTAGTTGATTTATTTACTAGCTGGACTATATGAAGAAGAACATGACATCAAGATTGGAGGAAGACTCATTAACAACCTGCAATACACAGATGACACAACTTTGCTTGCTGAAAGTGAGGATGACTTGAAGCACCTACTGATGAAGATTAAAGACTACAGTCTGCAGAATGGATTACACCTCAATATAAAGAAAACAAAAATCCCTACAACTGGACCAATAAGCAGCATCACAATAAATGGAGAAAAGATTGAAGTTGTCAAAGACTTCATATTACAGAATTCTACAATCAACACCAATGGAAGCAGCAGCTAACACATCAGATGATGTATCGCACTGGGCAAATCTGCTGCAAAAGACCTCTTTCAAGTGATGAAGAGCAAAGATGTCTTCTTGAAAACTAAGGTGCGCCTAACCTGAGCCATGATATTTTCAGTTGCCTCATATGCATGTAAGAGCTGGACAATCAATAGGGAAGACCAAAGAAGAGTTGATGCTTTTGAGTTGTGGTGTTGGCAAAGAATGCTGAAGGTACTGTGGACTGTTAAAAGAACTAACAAATCTGTCCTGGAAGAAATGCAGCCAGAATGCTCCTTGGAAGCAAGAATGGCCAGACTTCATCTCCCCTACTTTGGTCATGTTGTTAGAAGGGACCATTCTCTGGAGAAGGATCTCATACTTGGTAATGTAGAGGGTCGACGAAAAAGGGGAAGGTCCTAAACAAGATGGATTGACACAGTGGCTGTAATGATGGGCTCAGGTGTAGCAGGGATCATAAGGCTAGCACAGAACTGGGCAGTGTTTCCTTCTGCTGTGCATAGGGTCGCTATGAGTCAGATACGAATTGATGGCACCTAACAACAACTAGTTTATTATGTAATATATAAACATATACATTATTTTATAAATAAAGAAAAATATAATAAGAATATATATAAGGAGCCCTGGTGGCACAATTGTTAAGATCTGGTGATCTGCTTCCATAAAAATTACAGCCAAGAACACCCTATGGGGCAGTTTTACTCTGCCACATGGGGTCGCTATGAGTCTGAATCAACTGGACAGCACTCAACAACAACCATCTTTTGTTTACATGGAGTCACTGGGTGGTGCAAATGGTTGAAGTGCTTGGCTGCTAACCAAAAGATTGGCAGTTTGAGTCTACCCAGAGATGCCTCAGAAGAAGGGCCTGGAGACCTACTTCCAAAAAATCAGC